GATTGCATTGTAAGCATTCGCTTCTTGAAAAGATGATTTATCATTGGTATGGGAAAATAAACAACCGCTCGGGCGACCTCCAAAGAACTGACGCATACGCTGAACAGACGGAAATATTTTCATATGTTTTTCTTCAAAAAGTCTTTTATTTTGGGGGCGAAAAGTTCACAGCCGTTTGTGGGATTATCAATCGTTGAAACATATCTGAATTCAGCATCTGTTCCCCTTATTTCCTCCAGGCGATTCTCAATGAATTTTTGCTGCGTTTTCTTTTCCTTATGAATCCAGTCCAATACGCATACTGAATTACTCCAAAAAAACTTTTTACAAAAAAGTCTTCCTTATGAATCCAGTCCTCATGAATCCAGTCCTTTTCCATGAATCCAGTCCTTATGGATCCAACTTTTTGATTATGAATGCAGTCCTTTTCCATTTGTAACTGATTCGCAACAAGATTCATTGCTCTCACTCCTATCAATACTGCTAGCAGTTCGCTTCCTGGGACTGTTGTTCCTTTGATAGGACACAACTATGTTTTTGAAAATATCAGTGAGCATTGAAGATAATGGTGAAATTGCCAACTATAGAATTGGTGAGGTTTGTGGCTGCCACACAACCGCTGTTTGGAGTGTTGTGATAAAGGAAAATTGATTTGTTTTGGTTTTGAGTTCATCCAGATAACCGGACATAAGTGTTTTTTTTTTTTTTTGCGTGTAGATTTGCTTTTTTGCATTCTCGGCTAATGTTCATTTTTCAAGAGGAGACTGATTCTCAAAGGAAAAACTAATTGAGCTTCATTTTATGGACTTATATTTTGAAATTTAGGACCAGGTAAATGTCACATTCAGCCTGTTGTTGTAAGATAGGTATTAGCTTTCACTTTTCACTCAAGTTTTTTACTTATATTATTTTAATTTATTAATTTATTCAGTTTTTTTTAAAAGTTATTCAGTCTTCTGTGCAGTTTTTTCTTTGTTTTCCTCTTTAAAAAAAATTTCCTTCGGACCAGTGTAGATGTGACCCCAAACGATTATTTACAAAAATTGATCAAGTTTGCGAAATTTTAGGGTGTTGCCTTTGATCACGTGGAACTGAAATTTTACAAAAACGGTGTATTATTGCCGGTTTCAATTTCTGGCGTCAGAGGACAAGTTAGTTTTTGTAGTTTTCTGTTTTTCTTCCAGCTTTACATCTCCTTCAACACGGGACGTGTTAACGTTTGTTAATGGCCTTGGGTCTCACATCGAGCGGTTGGAGTTTATGAATTTGCGTGGCACTTACGTACATATTGTAATATCTGATTCCCTACATTCACCGTGCATTCCAGTTTTTTGCCCACTTTTTGCCGGTTAAAAAGACCGGTAAAACGAAAATGTAAAGTTTTTGTCGCTGCTAGCAAATATTTCAGCTAGGAGTTCTGTGGCTAGGGGGCTGTACTGATGATTCCCACTCCTGACCACACTTTGCACTGTCTGTGTTTACAGCTAAGGGATGAAACACAGACAGGCCAACCTATGTATTTCATAACATGATTGTTTAACGTGTCTCAAAGTTTTTAGCACTCTGGGATTAGTATCTCGGAACCACGGAGTCTGGGAGGCTGAAATTTTAAAGTAATGACTCCTTGCCCACGCTCAATCTTGCCCATTCAAATTCAGCGTTCCCGCGCTCTCGGGTATCACCTACGGGCTAGTGAAAATTTTTA